TTAGCGACATGGCAAGGCAGAAAAAGCCATCTACTCTTTGAGCTACTTACAGCATGATACGGACAATGCTAGAATCATTGCCTGGAAACTTATATGGTGAAATTTTGATAAAATAATTTAGTACACACTAAAAACACGGTCTGTCGCTAGTGGTAGAAAAAATAATTTTTAGAGGTTACTAGTTTATTTGGTTGCCTGTGATATGCATATACAGGTTGTTTCGTAATTAATCTAAAAAATAAAAAATCGTTAGAAAACGAATTAAGGCGGGCTCTTAATAAGTATATTTATTTTTTTCTCGACAACCGTTTGATGAACAAGAAAAACTCAAAAAATCAATTTTGTTGAAAAAGGATGGGCAGTCAAGAAAAAAATATATTTTCTTTAAAAAAGCAGTGGTGTACCATTTATGTTAAGCGAAAAAATCGATTTTTTTTAATTTTTAACACCCTGTAGATCAGAAAGGAAGTACTTTAGACCTAATGGTTATATAAAAATTGTTTTAAGAACACATGAGGAATCACCCCATAATTTTTTTAGACTAATTCGAAAACACCCTGTATATTGTCAACTTGACAATGACTGCTGATAAATCAAAAAATACCTTTCATTTTGATTTTTATTGAATTTGGGCCTGCGTTTGCAAATACTCGTTTGTTTTTTAATTTTCTATCTATCTAAATTTTAAATATCATAGTCAGAAATAGTTTTATTATTTATTAACTGTAAAAATGGTGTTTTCTTGTTGTGTTACAACTTGCAAAGAAACTAACAAAACTGCAAAAATGTACGTGTTTCCAAAATACGATAAGGTATGTATCTTAGATAAAAGTGAAATATGTGGTATGTATTTGTTGTTTGATTTTTTTTCGTTCGCTTTAAAATCTATAAATCTCGGTCTATTCATTAGACAGCCAGTCGACTTACGATCATTTACATGAAACTCTGTAAAATAAATAAGAAAATAAATTGTAAAATATATATATATTCTTATGTTTTATTAAAGTTACTCTGATATACTAATATATCAATGTAACTTTAAAAATAAATCCTTTGAATTCAAATATAAACATAAAAAACATCTACAGCAGAAAAGGCGAAGGCGCTGGGTTAAACGTAGTCTCCACTAAAAACACGGAGGGGCGCTTTGACCCAAAATTTTACTATTAAGTTTCATATCTATCTTAATAGTAGATTATTTTCTTTTATCTATGGCCAGAATGTTGTCGGAAAGTTCCGATAATGAAGACTACTTTAATATTGGTACTCTAACAGAACTTACAGAAGCTGCAAAAAGAGCAGAAGCCAGTTTACTTCCAGAGAAAAGTAGGTGGCGATATGAAATAGCATTGAAAGTATACGAAAAAAGGTGTGCCGAAAGAAATGCTAAGAATATTGCTTCGGAGACAGTCTTGATGGCATATTTTAGCGACCAGGCAAGGCAGAAAAAGCCATCTACTCTTTCAGCTACTTACAGCATGATACGGACAATGCTAGAATTAAGGGAAAAGACTGACACCTCAAAATATCACAAACTCGTCGCTTTTTTAAAACGCCAGAATGTAGGTCTTAAGCCAAAGAAGTCTAGCATTTTTACCTTCAACAAATAAATGTATTAAAATCTTCAATTATTATGGTAAATCTTCTTGTTTATTTTTGTTGATCTTAGATAAGTATTTAATAAAGATATTACAAGAATAGTTCACTTAATTAAATGAGGCGAGAAATAAGAAAAACTGGGTGAGGGAAATGGAAGAGGGAAGATTTGAAATTGCTATAATGAAAGAAATGGGGAAGAAATTGCTATATATGGCCGCTGCTGCAATATGGATGCGAAACATGGGCGCTAAGAAAGGAAGACATCAAACGACTTAATGCTTTTGAAATGTGGATGTACCGACGGTTGCTGAGGATAAGTAGGACCAAGTGTTCATTTTCTGATCGTTGCGTTGGAAGATTCCCATTCCAGATTACAGATGGATTCTTCAAGGTTCTTGAGTTCTGCTTTAAGTTAGTTTCACTTTTCTAGCTAGATCGTTTGTTTTTCATTACATTTTATCCCTTGGTGGCACCCAGAATATGACCTTATTTTCTTTGCCTATTTTTCATCTTCAAAAAGAAAACGTTAACTAAAATATTTCAGTTATTTTTCTGAAATTTTAAAATAAACCGTTTGGTAAATTCAGAATAGTAAAAGAATGTCTCCCGCTTTTGACAGCGGTACAAAATAATGTTTTGACTACACTGATGAGCAAATCGAATGCATTACCAGAAACGAAACAAGCAAAACAAAATTGTTTGCGTTACTTAAGACGGACGCGAACCGTCCTAATCGGATCACTTGCGAGCTCTTTTCTGCAATTGCCCTAATGTTTCCAGGTTATAGCATTACGTAGCGGAAGCTGCTAGCGGCCTCTTCCAGAGAAATGGCCCTTTTCCTTCCTGCGGCCGGCCATTCCGACTGCTTTGTGCCGGGCAATAAATTTCCTCCGCCCGGTCACTTTGCGGAAACGGCACAAGAGAAAAAAACACTCTCTTTCGACCGTTATTTTGTTTCTTTTATCGATGTTAAATAACATTGACAAAAAGACACTTAGAAACGACATAAGATCACTTTTTGCTCGTATTTTTTTGATATTTTATTGGCTTATAGTATACAGTTGTCCAAAAATTAAGACAGGAATTTTTATTTAGCTTTTTTCTTATTTGCCATAAAATGATACTGCATTTTGGCAGACTCTCAGGCTATATTTCGTTTCTTTCCTTGGTTTTGGTTTTCTGTTCCGTTTCTACAGGGTGAGTTTCCTACGATGTTCTCTATGGGTATCTCAGAAACTACTTACAGAGTCGGTTAAATGGGGAAAGAATTGCAGTTTTGTGGGGTCATAAATATGCGCCTTTCAGATTTTTGAAAAAGCTCATGGCTTACTAGATATTTCGGAAAAAAAACAAATTTTGGCTATTTTAAAAACTGTCCCTAATTCCATTATAATCCATTTTATAGACAAAAAGTTTTCAGATAAAAGTTGTAGATAATCACATCCCTAATGAGTTTGTGTTCTCCGGTTTTTTCTAAAGAATGTCATTTTTGAAATATGACACAAATATTTGTTTTTTTAAATGGAAACCATAGTTGGCCATAACATCATAAAAGCGCCATTTTTTAATCTTTTCAGCGATATAATTGGGGGTTGGTGTCGTAATGAAAGTCATGGTAGAACCACTCTATTAATGCGCGAGTATCTAAATTTAACTTTTCTAACATGTCTTGAAAACCGTTCTCTAAAAAAACGTAAGTAACGTTCACCGGGCAACGTATCGTCGAAACTGTATGGGCAAGGAAAGTTGAACCAATAATCCTAAACGCTTTTCTTCATTTGAAAAATTCATATTTACAATTTTTGTTTATTTTAATTTACAAAATTTGGATGTGACAGTTTCACACTTCTGAAAGCAACGGCGATTGAGTTTGTTTCCATGGCTAACTAAGTGAAATTAGTCAAGAATGAATTAGATAAATATTGGCTATAACTCAATAATTTTGTAAAAAAAACATATTATAGCTTATATCGCTGAAAAGCTTAAAAAATGGCGCTTTTTGTGAAATCATATCTAACTATGGTTTCCATTTAAATAAAAACGTATGTTTGTGTCATATGTCAAAAATGAGAGGCTTTAGAAAAAATCGAAGAACACAAACTTATTAGGAATGTGATTATCTACAACTTTTATCTGAAAACTTTTTGTCTAAAATAGAATATAATGAAATTAGGGACAATTTTTAAAATAGCCAAAATTTGTTTTTTTAAACATTTAGTAAGCCATGAACTTTTTCAAAAATCTGAAAGGCGCATATTTATGACCTCACAAAACTGCAATTCTTTCCCCATTTAACCGACTCTCTATCTCCAGTAATTTCCGAAATACCCATAGAGAATATCGTAGGAAACTCACCCTGTATAAATTGCCTAAAATTTATAGAAACTCAAAAGATGTTTTTTAACTGAATGTTACAAAATTACAAATGTTCACAAAATACAAAAATTTCAAAAACATTTTTCGCGAAAAACACCTTATAGACGTATTTCTGGGATCGAAATATACCACCCCAAAAAATATTGACATTTTTCACCAAAATATAAAGGTGCGTATTCATTATCCGCACGAACGAACGAACGAACGAATGTTCGCTAGTGGTATGGACGGGGACCGTACGATAGAACCGCAAGAGAAGACCGGACCATAGACCGGACGCATTTCTTGGCGAACGCCTTTGATGTACCGACTCGAAACGGATGGTCGAGCGAACGAACGAACGAACGGCCGCATGCGTTCGGTCCCCGTCTAAATATACCGCACTTTCATTCGTTCGTTCGTTCGTTCGGATAATGAATACGCACCTTAAAATTCTCGCGTCACAGTTTTAGTTACCATACTCCTCCGAAAAGGCTTGACCGATTCTGATGAAATTTTATATGTATATTCAGTAGGTCTGAGAATAGGTTGTAATCTATTTTTTTATTCCTCGAAGTGATAAGGGTAGCCAATCCCAATTTTTTTTTATTTTTTTATGACGTGGCATTAAAAATACATACAACCCTAAATTTTCACCCTTATACCATCAACCCCTAATAGCGATATTAGTAATTCAATAATTTTTAACCTCGTGAATAAAAATTACTGTTGTCCCATAAAAAATATTTATATGGCAAAACAACGTTTGCCGAGTCAGCTAGTATGTTTTAAAAATAATATATAATAACCTAATTATACAGGACATTAAAAAGTGTCTTGTACAAATTTTTATTAAATATATATTTTGATAAACATTTATTATTTATTTGTCTACTATCACATTTTATTATATAAAAAAAATTATATAAGACTTTAATCCACTTTCGATTGCTTAGAAAATTCTCATGGATTATCTTTATCATCCTGATTTAATGAGCTGTAAGGATATCACAAAATCTTAATCTACTAAAACAGTATATATAGAGTCCGATGAAGATGAGAAATTATACATACACATCGACTTTCAGTGTGTGACGGTCTTAGATCAGAAAAAATAAACTTTTTCACCATGCTGAAGTTCGTAGTTTTGGCTGTTGCTGTTTTTGCCGTAGGTAAGTATCAGTAATATAGTTATTTTTTTGGTTTTTCCTTATTAATTTTCTTTATTTAATCTTTTATTAAAAGGTGCTCAGGCTGGCGTATCAATCCAACACCTTCCTGCAGTACAGGTTGAATCCGAAGACGCTCCAACATTCCAAGTCCTCCCCGGCGGAATCCAAATCGAATCTGAGAACAGTCCATCATTCCAAGTCCTTCCTGGCTTGGTTCCAGTTGAATCTGAAAACAGCCCATCATTCCAAGTCCTTCCTGGTGGAATCCAAGTTGAATCCGACGTTCCTTCAATCCAACACCTGCCTGGATTACAGGTTGAATCCGACTCTCCATCTTTCTCTCACCTTCCTGGACTAGTTGCTGAATCAGACTCACCATCTTTCTCTCACCTTCCTGGACTAGTAGCTGAATCAGACTCTCCATCTTTCTCTCACCTTCCTGGACTAGTACCTGAATCCGACTCACCATCTTTCTCTCACCTTCCTGGACTTGTTGCTGAATCCGACTCTCCATCGTTCTCTCACCTTCCCGGAGTACAAGTTGAACAAGACCCATGCGCCGTCTGCTTTGGACAAATGAAATTGTTGGTGTCTGCTTTGCAAGAAGTTGTTGCTAACTAAGACGTTGGATGTTAAAATGAATTTTGATTGATATTTAATAAATTGCACTAACAGCTTAAACTATGTTTTTACTAACGTATCCCATTTCCTTATTAGTTAAAACTCTTTATTTATTAGACCTTTAAACTATAAAAAAAACTGTTAACTTAGATTGTTACTATAATCATTTCAACGATATTTTGTAAGAATCTTAAAAGTACTATATACTATATATAAACCTAAAAGTTGTACAGATTAAATTACAAGCCCAAAGGTGTCATCTAGACTCGTGTTATGTAGGAATGTCTGGATGAGCTTGGAATTTTGGAAGAAAGGAAAAGAATAAAACTATTGTAGGTGTCAGGCCATAGCGGCATCCAAGATAACGAAAAAGCCGACGAACTAGCAAGGTATCAAGGTATCATCTATCCGTAATTCTATCTTGGTCCAGAGTTAGTATTGGGAATACCCAAACGGATGACGTACTGCAGTAACACAGTGTAAGCAGGACACAGTATAAGAGACTGGGTGCAGACACAGGAAGGAGACAAACACAATAGGCTTTACATGTTTCCGGCATAGGACGGTCATAGTTATGGTTTATGGAAAAAAACATATATACAAGACTTGGAGCCTATTGTACTTCCTATTGTGCTTAAGTGTCTACAGCTCAATATACACACAACCAAGCTTATATGGAATAATCTATATTTTTGAGAGGTATGAAAATTTTGTGTATATAAATAAAACTCAGTCCTTACCAATGACTTTTAATGAAAAATAATCCATATAGCTATAAAAAAATAAAATCAGTTGCTAAAATAGACAAATGGTATTTTTTTGGTTTCTGAAACGAAATTAAGATTTACATTTTTAATAACCAAAAAGCAGAAACAAAAAGAAATTTGATAATTTTAATAATCCTTGTTGCAACCTCTAGCCCTTATGCAAATTATAAATTATCAACGTTGTCTTGGGGTATATTTTCCCATTCTGCTACTGTTGCATCAATAAGCTGTGCGCGATTTCCTGGATTGTTTCGACGAGCTCTAACCCTTCTTTTGAGCTGGTCTCACAAGTGTTTGATAGAGTTTAGATATGGTGAACATGCAGGCCAGTCCAAAACTAAGACACCATCCGTTTCAAGACATTCTCTAGTCACTCTGCTGGTATGGGGAGGTGCACTATCGTTCATGAAGTTAAAATTATCCCCAATTGCAGCTCTCCACAGACTAATGATTGGTTCTAGTACTAAATCAACATACTTTCGACCTGTTAAAGTTTGTTGAAGTGGTAACAATAGAGTTTTTGCTCCCAGCATAATACCTCCCCAGAACATTACAGTTCCTCTTTTATATCTTGGTACAAACTTCGCAGCTTGGAGTTTCGCTCGTCTTTTTGGAGCTCTGAGAACCCGAATTCGATGGTCATCTGATCTTAGGCCAATTCTGGTCTCATCTGAAAAAAGAACATTTTGCCAAGTCTCAGTTGTCCAGTTTTGATGTGTAAGGTATATGTTTTCGATACAACACCCTGGGTAACGCCAACTATCTCTGCTACGTCTCTTTGGGGTATTCCTTATTAGTATTCCTTTATAAATTCCGTATATAGTATAAAATAGTTTTTCCTTTCTGTACATCTTTTAATCCAATATAAGGCATTTTTTTATTTTTTGGATCGAATGAAAATTATCGGACAATCGTGATGTTACTACTGAACACAAAATTAAAAAAAAATCACAGCAGTCATGTATCATTTATTCTATATTATTATGTATACCGATTTTTTTCCTTGCAAAAAATTTAGTCAGAAATAAAAAGTGATTCCATATAAGTTTGGTTTCGTTGTGTATTGTACATATTCTTACTTAGCTTTCTTCTTAGGAAGGCTATTAAAAATTCCAAAGTCTACGTTTACATGCTTTTATATTTATTTTTGCATCCTACTTGGCAGCTCTTTATAATCACAGATGAAGTAGAATGCCACAAGTAGATTTGAACAAGTGTTTGAAGATAGAGGTAGAATCGAAAATTTGATGATGATAATGAATTCTTCAGCGATTATCACATACGGCTATGAAACTTGGACATTAAACCATTAATTCACACTCCTGGGGATGATACAATTATTGGATTGTTAAGTGTTGTAGTTTAAAACTATTCAGTGTCATTGAAGAAACTGATCACTTCTGTTATGCTCTTTTCCGCGATCTCTCAAGTTGGCTTGGAAATGACGATCGATGACATATACCAATTAATTTTGTGTAGAAAATGACAGCGACACCTACTTTTTATTCGATAAGTATAGTATATAATATACAAAATAACATAAATTCAAATTTTATATATCTTTTTTATTTTTATATCGTATTAGTATTTTATATTACTATTTTTTTAGGAACATAGTAAAACTGTAAAAAAAATTCACTTAATAATTTTGAATTTAATAATTTTGAAGATTAATATTATGTAATAATAAGTTATTTTTCTTTTAAATAATATTCAGTATCCTATTTGCTGATAATTGTAGACTGTATTCATAATAACTATTCGATCGTGTTTTCAGACTTCAAAAGAGAGCAGTTCGATATTTATTGGGACTGAACAGTAGAACTCACTGCCAGTATTTCTTTAAAAATTTTAAAGTACTGACTCTTCCTTCTTTATTCATTTTTGAATCCGTTTGTTTAATCCGCAAGCACATATCTGCTATTCCCGAAAGGCCATCTCATAACTATCCACTTAGGAATGCAGAGCACGATCTTTATCTGCCAACCCCGAGCTCAGAACTAGTTAAAGGTTCAATACTGTTCAATGCCAAAAAAATGTACAATCATCTGCCTTTGAATATCAAGTCGCTTTCATTCTTTCTCGCATTTCGCAAAGCTCTAAAATCATACTTACTGGAGAGAGCCCTATATGCGGTAAACGACTTTTTGTTGATGTTTAATTATGAACAATTTTGAATTTTAAAAT